ATAAGAGAGAGGAAGAAGTTGTGAGACAAGACACATAAGAGAGGGGTGAAGTTGTGAGACACATCACATAAGAGAGGGGAAGAAGTTGTGAGACAAGACATAAGAGAGGGGATGAAGTTGTGAGACAAGACACATAAGAGTGGGGAGGAAGTTGTGAGACAAGACACATAAGAGAGGGGAAGAAGTTGTGAGACAAGACACATAAGAGTGGGGAAGAAGCTGTGAGACAAGACACATAAGAGTGGGAAGTTGTGAGACAAGACACATAAGAGTGGGGAGGAAGTTGTGAGACAAAATACATAAGTGAGGGGAAGAAGTTGTGAGACAAGACACATAAGAGAGGGGAAGAAATGAGACAAGACATATAAGAGTTGGGAGGAAGTTGTAAGACAACACACATAAGAGAGGGGAGAAGTTGTGAGACAAGACACATAAGAGAGGGGTAGAAGTTGTGAGACAACACACATAAGAGAGGGGAAGAACTTGTGAGACAAGACGCATAAGAGTGGGAAGGAAGTTGTGAGAGAAGACACATAAGAGAGGAGAAGAAGTTGTGAGACAAGACACATAAGAGAGGGGAGAAGTTGTGAGACAAGACACATAAGAGAGGGGTAGAAGTTGTGAGACAACACACATAAGAGAGGGGAAGAACTTGTGAGACAAGACGCATAAGAGAGGGGAGAAGTTGAGAGACAAGACACATAAGAGAGGGGAAGAAGTTGTGAGGCAAGACACATAAGAGAGGGGTGAAATTGTGAGACAAGACACATAAGAGAGGGGAAGAAGTTGTGTGACAAGACACATAAGAGAGGGGTGAAATTGTGAGACAAGACACATGAGAGAGGGGAAGAAGTTGTGAGACAAGACACATAAGAAAGGGGAGGAAGTTGTGAGACAAGACACATAAGAGTGGGAGGGAAGTTGTAAGACAAGACACATAAGAGAGGGGTGAAGTTGTGAGACAAGATATATAAGAGAGGGGTAAAAGTTACGAGACAAGACCCATAAGAGTGGGGAGGAAGTTGTGAGACAAGACACATAAGAGAGGGGAAGAAGTTGTGAGACAAGACACATAAGAGAGAGGAAGAAGTTGTGAGACCCAAAACACTAGGAGAGGGATGAAGTTGTGAGACAAGACCCCATAAGAGGGGGGAAAAGTGTGAGACAAAACACATAAGAGGGGTGAATTGTGAGGGCAAGACACATAAGAGTGGGGGGGAAGTTTAAGACAAGACACATAAGATAGGGTGAAGTTGTGAGACAAGACACATAAGAGGGAAGAAATGTGAGACAAGACACATAAGAAGGGGAAGAAGATGTGAGACAAGACACATAAGAGAGGGGAGGAAGTTGTGAGACAAGACACATAAGAAAGGGGAGGAAGTTGTGAGACAAGACACATAAGAGAGGGGTGAAGTTGTGAGACATGGCACACAAGAGTGGGGAAGAAGTTGTGAGACAAGACACATAAGAGTGGGGAGGAAGTTTGAGACAAGACACTTAAGAGAGGTGTGAAGTTGTGACACAAGACACATAAGAGTGGGGAAGAAGTTGTGAGACAAGACACATAAGAGTGGGAAGATGTGAGACAATACACATAAGAGTGGGGAAGAAGTTGTGAGACAAGAGACATAAGAGTAGGAAGTTATGAGACGAGACACATAAGAATGGGGAGGAAGTTGTGAGACAAAGCTCGTAAGAGAGGGGAAGAAGTTGTGAGACATGACACATAAGAGAGGGGAAGAAGTTATGAGACAAGACACGTAAGAGAGGGGTGAAGTTGTGAGACAAGACACATAAGAGAGGGGTAGAAGTTGTGAGACAAGACACATAAGAGTGGGGACGAAGTTGTGAGACAAGACACATAAGAGTGAGGAAGAAGTTGTGAGACAAGACACATAAGAGAGGGGAAGAAGTTGTGAGACAAGACACATAAGAGTGGGGAAGAAGTTGTGAGACAAGACACATAAGAGAGGGGTGAAGTTGTGAGACAAGACACATAAGAGGGGTGAAGTTGAGACAAGACACATAAGAGAGGGGTGAAGTTGTGAGACAAGACCCATAAGAGAGGGGAAGAAGTTGTGAGACAGGACACATAAGAGAGGGGTGAAGTTGTGAGACAAGACACATAAGAGTGGGGAGGAAGTTGTAAGACAAGACACATAAGAGAGGGGTGAAGTTGTGAGAGAAGACACATAAGAGAGGGGAAGAAGTTGTGAGACAAGACACATAAGAGAGGGGAAGAAGTTGTGAGACAAGACACATAAGAGAGGGGAAAAAAAGTTTGAGACAAGACACATAAGAGAGGGGAGGAAGTTGTGAGACAAGACACCTAAGAGAGGGGTGGAAGTTGTGAGACAAGAAACATAAGAGTGGGGAGGAAGTTGTGAGACATGACATAAGAGTGGTGAAGAAGTTGTGAGACAAGACACATAAGAGGTGTGAAGTTGTGAGACAAGACACATAAGAGTGGGGAAGAAGTTGTGAGACAAGACACATAAGAGTGGGAAGTTGTGAGACAAGACACTAAGAGGTGTGAAGTTGTGAGACAAGACACATAAGAGTGGGGAAGAAGTTGTGAGACAAGACACATAAGAGTGGGAAGTTGTTAGACAAGACACATAAGAGTGGGGAAGAAGTTGTTAGACAAGACACATAAGAGTGGGGAAGAAGTTGTGAGACAAAACACATAAGAGAGGGGAAGAAGTTGTGAGACAAGACACATAAGAGAGGGGAAGAAGATGTGAGACAAAACACAGAAGAGAGGGGAAGAAGTTGTGAGACAAAACACATAAGAGAGGGGAAGAAGTTTTGAGACAAGACACATAAGAGAGGGGTGAAGTTGTGAGACAAGACACATAAGAGAGGGGTGAAGTTGTGAGACAAGACTCATAAGAGAGGGGAAGAAGTTGTGAGACAAGACAAATAAGAGTGGGGAAGAAGTTGTGAGACAAGACACATAAGGGGGGGGAGAAGTTGTAAAAACAAGACCATAAGAGAGGGGTTTAAGTTGTGAGACAAGACACATAAGAGAGGGGTGAAGTTGTGAGACAAAACTCATAAGAGTGGGGAGGAAGTTGTGAGACAAGACACATAAGAGAGGGGAAGAAGTTGTGAGACAAGACACATAAGAGAGGGGAAGAAGTTTTTGAGACAAGACACATAAGATGGGGAAGAAGTTGTGAGACAAGACACATAAGAGAGGGGAAGAAGTTGTGAGACAAGACACAAAAGAGAGGGGAAGAAGTTGTGAAACAAGACACATAAGAGAGGGGAAGAAGTTGTGAGACAAGACACATAAGAGAGGGGGAAAAAGTTGTGAGACAAGACACAAAAGAGAGGGGGAAAAATTGTGAGACAAGACCATAAGAGAGGGGAAGAAGTTGTGAGACAAGGGCACATAAGAGGAGGGGAAGTTGTGAGACAAGACACATAAGGGGTGTGAAGTTGTGAGACAAGACACATAATTGTTGAAGAAATTGTGAGACAAGACACATAAGAGAGGGGTGAAGTTGTGAGACAAGACACATAAGAGAGGGGAGGAAGTTGTGAGACAAGAAACATAAGAGAGGGGTGAAGTTGTGAGAGAAAACACATTAAAAGGGGGAAGAAGTTGTGAGACAAGACACATAAGAGAGGGGAAGAAATTGTGAGACAAGACACATAAGAGAGGGGAGGAAGTTGTGAACAAAGAAACAAAGAGAGGGGTGAAGTTGTGAGACAAGACACATAAGAGGTGTGAAGTTGTGAGACAAGACACATAAGAGTGGGGAAGAAGTTGTGAGACAAGACACATAAGAGTGGGGAAAAGTTGTGAGACAAGACACATAAGGAGTGGGGAAGAAGTTGTGAGACAAGACACATAAGAGAGGTTAAGAAGTTGTGAGACAAGACACATTAGAGAGGGGAAGAAGTTGTGAGACAAGACACATAAGAGAGGGGAAGAAGTTGTGAGACAAGACACATAAGAGAGGGGAAGAAGTTGTGAGACAAGACACATAAGAGAGGGAAGAAGTTGTGAGACAAGACACATAAGAGGGGGAAGAAGTTGTGAGACAAGACACATAAGAGGGGGAAGAAGTTTGTGGACAAGGCACATAAGAGAGGGGAAGAAGTTGTGAGACAAGACACATAAGAGAGGGAAGAAGTTGTGAGACAAGACACATAAGAGAGGGGAAGAAGTTGTGAGACAAGACACATAAGAGAGGGGAAGAAGTTGTGAGACAAGACACATAAGAGGGAGGGGGAGGGAAGTTGTGAGACAAGACACATAAGAGGTGTGAAGTTGTGAGACAAGACACATAAGAGAGGGGAAGGAAGTTGTGAGACAAGACACATAAGAGAGGGGAAGGAAGTTGTGAGACAAAGCACATAAGAGAGGGGTGAAGTTGTGAGACAAGACACATAAGAGAGGGGTGAAGTTGTGAGACAAGACACATAAGAGAGGGGTGAAGTTGTGAGACAAAGCACATAAGAGAGGGGTGAAGTTGTGAGACAAGACACATAAGAGAGGGGAAGAAGTTGTGAGACAAGACACATAAGAGAGGGGTGAAGTTGTGAGACAAGACACATAAGAGAGGGGTGAAGTTGTGAGACAAGACACATAAGAGAGGGGTGAAGTTGTGAGACAAAGCACATAAGAGAGGGGAAGGAAGTTGTGAGGTTCACAAAGAGCTTTGTTCTATGATATCACAAAAGAACTCTGAGAAATACAAAGTCAATACCAATGAACATACTAGCACATGGATGGCAATGGTTGAATTGCAACTCTAGGATGGAACAGTAGACCTATTGCAGTGTTATATTTTATATTCAGTAACATCATAATTAAACAAGTTACACAGGAACAAGTTTGCAGAAATAACGCAAGTTATGCAAGAGAGTAATATAAGTTGCAGAGACTTACACAAGAGTTATTCTTAAGTTAAGTAAGGAACACAAACTAAGAAGAATATCAGAGATTGCATAAAAATAATCTTCAACCATAAAGTATAACTTACAAGACTATGAGTGTAGAGGAGAACATATTATCTGAGGGAGAGGAGCCTTGTTCACACCACCAGCAACACACACACACTACTCCACCTTCTCCCCACAACACTCAGGTGTCGCCAACACCAGCTGCTATGTTGCCATTTAGAAAATAATAAAAACACTTATGAATATAATTTTAAGTATAGTTTAAAATGGTAGCTTTCCATGATTTCTCCAGAATATGACAATTATATCTCGTTGTTATGAAAGCCGTTCACATGAAGCTTATATATATATATATATATATATATATAAAATATATATATATATATAAAATTATATATATATAAATATAAAAATATATATATTTTATATATATATATATATATAATATAATATAATATATTAATATATTTCAAATAAGTTGACATATAACTGTTACCATGAGATTTGAAGTGAGAAAGTAAGTTGATGGAGGAGACCTCAGGTTGAGGATCTGATCTTTTTATTGACTCTGAAAGAATGCCTGTGAGGCAGAATTCAGAGAGTTTCAGCATCTTTGAGCTCTTAGGTAGGATGAACGTACCTGTCTCAGAGACCTGACTTCCTTGCATGACACAGCCACGCCCACCCACCCACCTCACCTTCAACAAGTTATCTCTCCACATTACATATCCTCCTCACTATAGATCTGTGTGTGAGACATCAGCTCACCACACCCTCCACTGTATACAGACCAGTGGTGGTGGCCAGACATAGAGTTACTTGGAATTTTCGCCTGCAGCCCAAGAGTCAAGGCTGGCCCTGAGAACACCTGAGTCTACTGTGTTGAAACCAGCACCATCGTTAACTACAAACCACACACCACTTGATGTACAAAATTCACTGTGCCTGGTAGACAACGCTCTTGCTTTACACACTAAGTGTCCGTGGTTCAATCCCTGACAAGGGTGGAAAACATTGGGCGTGTTTCCTTAAACTTGTTGTCCCCGTTCACCTAGGAAGCAAGTAGGTACCTGGGTGTTAGTCGACTGGTAATGGTCGCGTCCTGGGGAACAAGATTGAGGACTCCAATGGAAATAAGACAGAGTCCCTGGATGACGCACTGGCTTTCATGGGTTATCCTGGGTGCCTAACCCTCCTGGGTTAAAAATCCAAACAAAATCTTATCTTATCTTATCTTATCTAACTTCATTTCAACTTGACTCCTCTTGAAAACATCAAACAAATATAAAATGAGAAACTTAGGGAATTTCTTTATGCGAGTGAAGAATTCTGGATTCCAGATATCGAATCAACCCTTTTGTGTCGCAAGCACTGGATCAACCCTCTTGTGTCACAAGCAGTGGATCAACCCTCTTGTGCCACAAGCACTGGATCAACCCTCTTGTGTCACAAGCACTGGATCAACCCTCTTGTGTCACAAGCACTGGATCAACCCTCTTGTGCCACAAGCACTGGATGAACCCTCTTGTGTCACAAGCACTGGATGAACCCTCTTGTGTCACAAGCACTGGATCAACCTCTTGTGTCACAAGCACTGGATCAACCCTCTTGTGTCACAAGTAATGGATCAATTCTCTTGTGTCACAAGCACTGAATCAACCCTCTTGTGTCACAAACACTGGATCAACCTCTTGAGTCACAAGCACTGGATCAACCTCTTGTGTCAAAAGTACTGGATTAATCTCTTGTGCCACAAGCACTGGATCAACCCTCTTGTGTCACAAGCACTGGGTCAACCCACTTGTATCACAAGTACTGGATCAACCCTCTTGTTTGACAAGCACTGGATCAACCCTATTGTGTCACAAGCACTGGATCAACCTCTTGTGTCACAAACACTGGATCAACCTTATTGTCACAACCACTAGATCAACCCTATTTTGTCACAAGCACTGGATGACCCTCTTGTGTCACAAGCACTGGATCAACCTCTTGTGTTACAAGCACTGGATAAACTCTATTCTGTCACAAGCACTGGATCAACCTCTTGTGTCACAAGCACTGGATCAACCCTATTGTGTCACAAGCACTGGATCAACCCTCTCGTGTCACAAACACTGGATCAACCCTCTTGTGTCACAAGCACTGGGTCAACCTCTTGTGTCACAAGCACTGGATCAACCCTCTTGTGTCACAAGCACTGGATCAACCTCTTGTGTCACATGCACTGGATCATCCCTATTGTGTCACAAGCACTGGATCAACCTCTTGAGTCACAAGCACTAGATCAACCCTCTTGTGTTACAAGTACTGGATAAATCCTCTTGTGTCACAAGCACTGGATCAACCTCTTCTGTCACAAGCACTGGATCAACCTTATTGTGTCAAAAGCACTGGATCAACCCTATTGCGTCACAAGCACTGGATCAACGCTCTTGTATCACAAGCACTGGAACAACCCTCTTGTGTCACAAGCACTAGATGAACCCTATTGTGTCACAAGCACTGGGTCAACTCTCTTGTGTCACAAAAACTGGATCAACCTCTTGTGTCACAAATACTGGATCAACCCTATTGTGTCACAAGCACTGGATCAACCCTATTGTGTCACAAGCACTGGATCAACGCTCTTGTATCACAAACACTGGATCAATCCTCTTGTGTCACAAGCACTGGATCAACCTCCTGTGTCACAAGCACTGGATTATCCCTATTATGTCACAAGCACTGGATCAACCTCTTGTGTCACAAGCACTGGATCAACCCTCTTGTGTCACAAGTACTACATAAACCCTCTTGTGTCACAAGCACTAGGTCAACCTCTTGTGTCACAAGCACTTGATCAACCCTATTGTGTCAAAAGCACTGGATCATCCCTATTGTGTCACAAGCACTAGAGCAACCCTCTTGTGTCACAAGCACTGGATCAACCTCCTGTGTCACAAACACTGGATCATCCCTATTTTGTCACAAGCACTGGATCAGCGCTCTTGTATCACAAGCACTGGAACAACCCTCTTGTGTCACAAGCACTAGATGAACCCTATTGTGTCACAAGCACTGGGTCAACTCTCTTGTGTCACAAAAACTGGATCAACCTCTTGTGTCACAAATACTGGATCAACCCTATTGTGTCACAAGCACTGGATCAACCCTATTGTGTCACAAGCACTGGATCAACGCTCTTGTATCACAAACACTGGATCAATCCTCTTGTGTCACAAGCACTGGATCAACCTCCTGTGTCACAAGCACTGGATTATCCCTATTATGTCACAAGCACTGGATCAACCTCTTGTGTCACAAGCACTGGATCAACCCTCTTGTGTCAAAAGTACTACATAAACCCTCTTGTGTCACAAGCACTAGGTCAACCTCTTGTGTCACAAGCACTTAATCAACCCTATTGTGTCAAAAGCACTGGATCATCCCTATTGTGTCACAAGCACTAGAGCAACCCTCTTGTGTCACAAGCACTGGATCAACCTCCTGTGTCACAAACACTGGATCATCCCTATTTTGTCACAAGCACTGGATCAACCTCTTGTGTCACAAGCACTTGATCAACCCTATTGTGTCACAAGCACTTGATCAACCCTATTGTGTCACAAGTACTGGATCAAGCACTGGATCAACCTCTTGTGTCACAAGCACTGGATCATCCCTATTGTGTCACAAGCACTGGATCAACCTCTTGTGTCACAAGCACTAGATCATCCCTATTGTGTCACAGGCACTGGATAAACCTCTTGTGTCACAAGCACTGGATCAACCTCTTGTGTCACAAGCACTGGATCAACCTCTTGTGTCACAAGCACTGGATCAACCTCTTGTGTCACAAGCACTGGATCAACCTCTTGTGTCACAAGCACTGGATCATCCCTATTGTGTCACAAGCACTGGATCAACCTTTTGTGTCACAAGCATTGGATCAACCCTCCTGTGTCACAAGTACTGGATCAACCTCTTGTATCACAAGCACTGGATCAACCTCTTGTGTCACAAGCACTGGATCAACCTCTTGTGTCACAAGCACTGGATCAACCTCTTGTGTCACAAGCACTGGATCAACCTCTTGTGTCACAAGCACTAGATCAACCTCTTGTGTCACAAGTACTGGATCAAAATTACGGGTTAAGTGTTTCTGAATGAATGTACTAATATAAAGGTTCCAGTGTGAAAATAATAATAATAATAATAATAATAATAATAATAATAATAATAATAATAATAATAATAATAATAATAATAATAATAATAATAATAATAATAATAATGATAATAATAATAATAATAATAATAATAATAATAATAATAATAATAATAATAATAATAATAATAATATAACATAAGGTAAGCGTGTGGCAGTGGACAGAAGCGTCGGACTCAGGTTCCCGCTCTAGGCTGGACCCGACTGACCTACTGAGCTTTATATTTCCAGGAATTGCAAACCAGCTTTTGAAAGGAGACACCAGACTATTTGTGGTGCTCGAAACTCCATCTCCCTTAGAGGATGAAGTCTGGTGAAGGGCTCTTGATATGAGGAATTCGAATTACCTTCCCTATCCTTTTATCAAGAATATTAGAACATTACAATACAGCACTGCAGTAGGCCTACTGGCCCATGCTAGACATGTTGAACACTTTCGAATGTTTCTTGGGAGGTTTTCCGACCACATTAGCTTCTTTAAATCATTATGAAGGTCAACTGTATTTTCCTCTGAATTTATTTGTCGGTCTATTTTTGTGTCGTCAGTGAACTGTCAAATGTGTTTTATTTGATTTTTATTCCTTCAAATTCATTATTGTAAAAGATAGAAACACAAATGTAGTAACTATAAAGTATATTAAGACAACGTTTATCAGCACATCAGACTTCTTCAAGTCAGGATCTAACTTGAAGTCATTGGTGTTTGTTGTTGTGGCTAGATTTTTTCTGCACCTTATTACATCCCTCTATTTATTTCTGTTTTATATTAGTATATTTCACTCAGGATCCCTCACCTTCCTTATTCTACGTCTTAATAAAAAATGTAAACTTTGTCTTTTTAATTGTCTTCTGTTTATAAAACAATATACGGTTTATGACATTTTATTAATAAATTTCCTGGTAAACTAATCACCTTCTGAATAAAATGGCGTAGACTG